CCAAGACACACGGGGGTGGGCCAAGGCCCTATCCCAAAGGATATGATAGACTCTGATGACACCCTATGGAAGGCCTCACCATCCAAGGGGAGCAGAAAGGATATGTGGTAGGTAGGGTTTTAGTTGGGCGGAGATGGTAGGGGAGGAGGGGAGGGAGAGGGAACTGGGATTATCATGTAAAACAATGTTGTTTCTAATTCAAATAAAAAAAAATCTGCAGAAAAAAAAAATGACTCCAGTGAAGCCAAAGAATACAGATTCTTGGGTCTCAGACTCAAAGACTCCAGTTAAGAGGAACATGACAGTCATTGTTAGGGTAAATAGAGGGAGGGGAAAGAATCCTTGCCTAAGGCATCTTCTAATTCCCTTCTCTTTCCATTTTGAAGGACACCTGCCTTCATCCAACCTAACTCCATTGGATGCCATCTTCCCCAGGAATGAGCCACCCTTCAGTTTATTCTTCTCTAGCACTTAGTATGTCATATATTGTATAAAAATTATCACCACATGAATGTATCCCCTATCTCTCTACTAGCATCTTATCACCATCCCATCCCCCCCCCAAACACACACACACACCTGCAGATCCCTAGATCATAAACCGGGTTTCTTGGAGTGTAGTCCCTGCCCTGACTCTATCCTAAGGTCAAGTTCTCTCTGCCTATGTGTCAGCAGTCCTCAAATTTTGTTGACTGCAGCAATTCTGTTTTCCAGGGTGATCACAACACCTCTTTTCAGGTCCACACCACACTCATGATATAGGCAACACAGACAGTCCCAGGAGGCTCCAGTAACTTAGCAGAAATTCCCTGGAAACACTGGTATCTAGGCCACAGACAAAGGACAGGTGATATGGTGACAGTCTGGACAAGACAGGGACAGTTTACAACTAGAGAGATATTGCCATAGGAGATGAGTCTTAGTCTGCGTTAGCCCTTGAATCCACCCCCTCACCAAGGGCTAGGCCGGGCAGGGCCAGAACTGCAGGAGCCAGAATTGGCTCTTAGCTAAACATTAACTCTATGGCAAACACTGGGTGCTGGGACCAACTGGTACCCTTTCTCCAGCCTCAGCAGGAAGGAGGGGGTAAGAGAGCCCAGGTTAAAAATAAAAAATAGATTTTGGTTCAGCATTGACCTCACCTAGGAAGAAACCAGTTAAGAGCCACAAAGGAAATCCTGTTGCTTCAGCCAAATCCGGTAGGCAGAAGCCAGATGTGGGTGGGACGAGGAGACAAGGGGGAGGCGATTAAACACGGGGTGGGCATGGGTGCAATGCAGAAAGGTGGGGAAAGGGTAGGAATGGGATGGGGGTCTCATCTGGAGAAGTCACACCACCACCTGAGAGTGGGGGATGGGGCCAACTGTCGTGAGAGTAACAGTCAGGGAGATTCTTCAAAGTCATGGGTAACAATCGTCGGTGGGACGAAGAGGAAGGACAGTCCTTGAAGGAAATACAAGGCAACTGGGTGTGTCATCTCTGCTACCCCCAACACCTGCATCCACTCCTACAAAGCGTTGTCCTATGGTTCTCAAACTGATGCCAGCTAGACTTGCAGTGTCATCCCCGGGTTCAGCACCAATCCTCCTTCCCGTCTTAAAGTCAGCTTTCCTAACAGAGGACAGTGTCAGACAATGTGGGTGCTGTCTCCAGCAGTTGCCCTATTCTAGGCTTTGTCCCTAAGTTGCTATGGAAACACTAACACCCCAGGAATGAGACATAAGGCAGGAGGGTCTATCTACCCACCAGGAGCTCAGCTAGTGCCTACTGGGACAGGGAAGGATCATATTTAAAAGGCACAAGATATCCCTCAGGCTTAAGTCTGACAACCTTTATTTCTGACCACTTTTCCAAAAGCCCTGTCACCTGATCCCTTAAGCTCCTGACCACTGGGGCTGCACCTTTGTACCTGAGGCTGGAGGCCCTACTGAATAAAATGAGCTAGTCAGCCCATGGTGGTGAAGGGCAAGAAGGGCCCCAGGGCAGTTGCACAAGACAGGGTCTTCACACTCCACCCTGACTGTGACATTCACCCTCCTCGGCCTTTTTCCCATGTCACTGGGGTCTAGTCACTTCCTTTCTTATGACTCACCCTTCAGGTCGGGTTAGTCTGTTACTTTGCTGACAGCTTCCCTTGGTGAGTTGTGGGACAATAAGTTAGTTGCTTTTCTCTTCTACAGACGGGTGGTGGTGAGGATAGAGTGGCTTCCTCTTAAATTACACCTAGGCCCCTTGAACAGGTCTCGGGGGACTCCTATAGTGGTCAGTCAGTACTATGCAGAACCCTGACCCTAGCCTGCCACCAGGGCAGGGAATTATAAAGCTTTCATCTGTCTAAAGGAATCCTAATGCCAGGGATAGAACGTGAGGCATCACAGCTGGTGAAATGACTCTAGATGGGGGAAAGAAAAGAACATCTACAGCTGCAGGAACCAGGATCCTCTCTGAAGGTCAGATTCCAGCCGGCTGCTAGCAGGGAGCAACAGTGGTGAAAGGTAGGTTAAAGGGAAAGTGGGTCATAACAACACGAGTAGCCTAAGAGCCCCCCATATAGACTAGGACGGGGTAGTGCTGAGGGAGGGAGCAGCCAAAGTTCCCCTGATGATGGGATTTGAACACAAGTGTATAAGGCATAGCCACAGCACTCAGACAGAAAAAGGTACTTAGCCAGCCGGGTCCCACAAGTGCTAAAAAACCCTACCCAACAGGTGGCTCTCGGAGAAGCCAGGTCATAGATTCCAGTTCCAGCCAGGACAACTGTGCCAATGTCCAGGGTAAATGTCCTAGCAGGGCCAGAGAGCACCCGAGGGAAACTTCTGCAGTGTCAAACAGACAGGCTAACCACACTAATAAGTGGCTCTGGGAAACTGAACCAGGGCAGATCTGTCTCATCAGTAAGGGCGGAAGGATCCCATCCAACTAGCCTGTTTGGGTGATATATCCAACTTGCCTCTCCACTACTGCAGTTACTCATCAACCTCTTCAGGAGCTACCTCTTGTACAGGAAATGCAGGAAGATGTGAAAGCAGAGGCTATGGACTGTGCGATTCCCAAGCACATCTCTTAGTAGCTGCAGCTAGGGCGATTGGAAACTGTTTCTCATGTCCCGCTGTCCGCCTGCCATTTCTGTCTCCTCCTCCAGTCTCGATCCTTTCTGCTTCCTGCACCAAGAGGCAGCAGCCCAGAGCAGGCAGAAAGGGATGTGTTGGTGGTCATCCTGGAGGTCTGTCAAGTTCAACTGCAGACAGATGGCCTA